CACACTTCCTCAGCTTCCCTAGGAGGATATCATGGGAGACTGTGTCGAAAGCCTTGCTGAAGTCAAGGTAGACAACATCCACGGCTCTCCCTTCGTCTACCCAGCCAGTCATGTCATCGTAGAAAGCTATCAGATTGGTCAGGCATGATTTCCCCTTGGTGAATCCATGCTGACTACTCCTGATAACCTTCTTTAGAGAAGAAAGAGCCTTTAGAGAGAAAGTGCCTTTCTCTCTGTGCCTCCTCTCGTCCTGCTCCTGCAGTTACCTGCCAACCCAACCCAACAATGTTGGGTAGACCCTAGGTCTGACCCAGAACAGCTGTCCTCTTTGTCTTACATCTCCGTTACTGGGTTGTTTCCCTGGCGAACACCACATGAGCAAGCACCAAAGCCAACCGACAGCGCAGTCTACCGTGATGGGTCAAAGCACGAGATTGCCATGTCCATCCATACCTGGTGCAGACAGCCACCTTCTCTGGATCATGGATGTAGGGGCAGCTCTCCCCACGATTACACTTGCCGAAGCGGTTGTAGTACATACAGTATTCCTTCTTCTTTTTCTTCTGCTTGGCTTGACGAATGATGGCCAAACTTCGCTGAACAGCACGGCTAAACAGAGAAAGACAGACAGGGTCACGTAAAGTCTCCAACTTCAGTGCAACAATGACATAGAGGAGACAGGTCAACAGCACCTGAAAACACAGAGAAGCCCAAGTTTCACTCTGAAGAGAGTGAAATATTCAGGAAGTTCATGCTGGGCCATTAGCTCTTAGGTCTTTCTGATTTTTGGCCATTTTTACCTTGAGTGTTTAAAAATCTGCCAGATGAGACCAATCTCCCTGGAAACATCTGCATTTGGGAAACAATCACCCCATGCAGCGGGACAGGTTGTGGGCAACTGCCTAGAAAGCACCTCTGCAGAACACCTGGGGACCCTGAAGAACATCAAGACACCCAGGTGTCAGCCAGGTTTCCTTGCGGTGATGACACTAATCGCGTCCTGGGATGCATGAGCAGGAACGCAGCTGGGAGGATCAGGGAGGGGATCCATCCCCTCTGTTTGGCACTTGCAAGACCACAGCTGGCCACCGGGTCCAGTCTGGGGCACCCAGTACAACACAGACAGCGCTGGATGGCAGTGCGTCCAGTGGAGGCCACCAAGATGGTTGGGGCTGGAGTACAGGACATCTGAGCAGAGGCCATGGGCTCATTTGCTCAGCAAGGAGAAGGTCAAGGGGGATCTTCTTGTCCTCCATGACTTCTTAATGAGATGGTGTAAAGAAGGTGGAACCAGACCTTTTCAGAGAGATATGTTGGAAGGACAAGAGGCTCTCTGGGGCAGTAGGAAGGACAGAGCTCTCCAGAGATCTCTTCCCACCTCCATAACTGTGATTCTCTCCTATGATTTTGTGAGCACGGAGAGAGCTTCCTGCAGTCTGGGGGAACACGGTGAGGCAGAAATCATCCTCTCCCATGCTGAGGCTCGTGCAGCACAAGATGCAAATACTTAACAGCTTAGAGGGCTCTTCAGCACATGTCCCTGACAGCTGGCCCGCTGCACTCCCCAGGGCTATTGAAGGTCTTCAAGTGGACACCTGCTTACGAACCTCAATGAACGAGGGACTACGTGACAGCCACAGGAACACAAGGTAACACCAAACATCAGAAAAACTCGCTATTAATTGCCTGGTACCATTAGAAGGTACTTGAGGATATCAAAAGTAGCTTAGCAGACATTTTCCATAAGCTTCCAAGTGAAGAGGTAATTACCCAACAGCTACAGAGATGTATGGGACCAGGAGGAAGAGGGGAAGTGTTGAGATCTGGGTGAATGCAACACCACGGAGGGCACATTTGACCTCTCCGAGCAGATAACTAGATGGGACTGCACGGTCAACTCAAGTTTGCAGAGGACGCAGTGCTCTGGACAGGGACAAAGCCATTCACCTTAGGTTCTCTAGTTGTATACATTCCTTCCCTAGACACTAATGATAACCATTTAGATATTAAATTATTTTAATGTATTTGTAATATATGGATATAATATTTATGTACTTCCACAGTCTTGGTCCTCCTGGTGTGAGAACTATAGGTCTAAGGATCACAGCAACATTGCCCATGATAAATCCTCACTCCAGGAAACTATTTTAGGGGGGAATGCACATTTTTACCTCTATAATTATCGGTTGTCTGCAGCTCTTGAGTTGAAATGCAACGAGAAAAAGACAGCTTCATACAGCCAAACTACTGAACCCAAAGGTCCCGTTTCAGCGTCAGAAATGCCACCACCTCTTTCATCACAAATGGCTCAGTGGGACACCGAGCTCCACCACAAATTGCTTCTTGGTCCTTCAGGCGCTTCCAAGGCTAATGCAAGGCAAGCCATGATACGGCATGATAAGCATTAAAAAAAAAGAGTATTTCTTTGATGAAAGTGCGATATTAAAAAAGACTCTGCCATTGTCAAGACCTGGGCTACCTGTGATATCTGGCCAGGTCACCAGCACATTGATTTGCAAAGAAAGCATTTGCAGGTTGGACTCCATCCCCAAGTAAATCCGATGGCACATTTTAAATTACTTCATATTAGTGGTAGGATATGATAAAATATAGCGAGAATCTGGCATCACGTCTGTAGACAGACATCTGGAACTGACACACTTCAGGAATAAATTTTAGTCTGCTACAATTAAGAGGGACTTGTCTGCAAACGCTCGTACTTAAGGACACGATGATATATGGCACATCTGTAGCCCAAAAAAAAAAAGGCAAGGCGAAAGCTGGCAGGGCATTCAACAGCAGCAATGGTGCTTTCCAGTTGCCATGTGGTAATCCCAAAGACAAGTACAGGCTGGGCAGAGAGTGGCTCGAGAGCAGCCCTGAGGAGAAGGACTTGGGGGGTACTGGTGGATGAGAAGCTCAAC